TTACCTTTACTTGTTTAGTTGGAAATAAGTTGTGGTGCCTTCCCTGTTGGTAGGACCTTGCTTGGTGTATCTTGATATCTGTACGCATGCCTGGCCACATGCACTTCCGTGCACCTGTTGGCCAGAACCGGAGGATTGCACTCCCCGGTGGTGCAGTTATGCCCCTGGCGGCTCCAGTTCCCAAGCCCCAAATCATGCTAGCATTCACCTCGCTTCGTATCCATTTTACACTCGCAGCAGTCCTATCAGAGTTCCAAGCCAGGCGCTGTGGCAAGGCGATGCCGCGGGGCCGAATCGATTCCGTTTGGCACGTGGATGTTCTCGCCAACATTGGTTGCCAGAAGGTTTCTCGAGCTTACACACCCATCAGCACGGCCCAAGACTTTGCTGATGGTCACCTGGAGATATTGGTGAAAGTTTACCCGGATGGTCTCATGACTCAACACCTGGCGACTTGCCTAAAAAAAGGGCTTTTTTGTGCGAAGGCAGCGAAGGGAGGGATGTGCAGGGCACATGTAGTCAAGGCTGGGCTCCTGGTGGGCGAGTTCCCAGCCTCGCCAACAAGGCGATGGATCACCTTCTGAGTGGCGAAAGCTTGGTGATCCTTGCGGGTGGCAGCGCAGCGACCCTGGCTTTCCAAATTTGTGCCGTGGCTCTGGATCCCGATCAGAGGCTGGGGGCTGGGCTTCAAGAGGGCTCTTTTTGAAGCCGGCTGCGGGCTGCGGGCTTTTCTCTCCCTGCAGGCCAAGGCGGCCCGAGGTCCAATACTTTGCAACAAGACGGCGAAGGATGTCCTTTTCGCCGAGGACTTCGAAGAGCTCCAAAAAGCCCTGGCTCGAGGTTCCAAGTGACGCACCTCCTCTCGAGAGAAAGGCCGACGCCGTGTGTGGCTTCCAAGCAGCCTCTGCATGCGGTTCCCAGCTGCGAAAAAGGAGCTGCCTCAGCATAGCATTGCAGAGCCGTTTGGGGAGGCCATTGCCTCGTCATCTGAGGTTTGGAAGGGACCGTTGCGTCTCAACGAGGAGGTTCTGGAGGAAGTCCTCCCAAACCCGATGCGGGCGATCTTTCTTGTGAGTGGACCACCAGGCCTCTGCCGCGCCGCCGACGCTCTGCGGGCGATGCGGGGCCGGGAAGGCCCGCGAGGCGTGCGGAGAGAGAGGGCCCTCTTCCTGGAGCTGGGCGGGAGCCGGAAGCCGAGGCTGGGCTTTTGACCTGTACGTAGCGTAGCGGATCGTAGCGCGTCTGTGTAGAGATTCTCTGTCTGCGACGCTTCCCGCAGGCGCCGGCACCGATGGACCCGACCGGAGCCCAAAAAAGAGAGAGCGCCTCTTCGAGAAGCGGCCGGCGGCCGGAGCACGATCGCGTTCCCGCTCCCTTCGCTGAATTCGCTGATTCATGCTGATTCTGATGGTGGCAGGTTGTGGACTTGAGCTGTACAGGCAAGATCCCGCCATTCTGCGGCTCTCTGCGGCCCTTTGTTCTTTTGGATATTTTGGATCCTTTGCCGTCGTGTGCAGGGGGAATGGCAAGGAACCTCGAAGCCTGGATCTCGCGTGAAAGGCTGCAGAGTTCCTTCGGCCTTGAGGGAGTCCTTCTGGGTGCAAGCCTTGTGGAGTCTCCCGAGCCGAGCAGGGGGCGGAGAGCGGAAGAGCGGAGAGAGAGAGGAAGACACCGGAGCAGCACACCCAGCCGGAGAGCGAGCGGAGAGTGAAACGGAGTGGAACGGAGAGCGCTGAGCGCCGCGGAGCCATGGCCGTGGCAGAGCGCTGAGCGCCGAGCGCCGCACCGAGCGCCGCACCGAGCGCCGCACCGAGCGCCGGAATGGGAGACGAGGCGCTGCCACCGGGCGCATTTTAGGAAAAGGGAGGGGCGCCGGGAGCTCCGGGGACGGTCTTAGAAGCTCCTTTCGAGAGTGTCGGACTCGTCTTGCACGAAGCTGAGATGTGTGGAGCGCGTCGCAATGAAGGCTCCCAGAGACGGATCCTCTAACTTTCTGCTCGAAGATCAAGCCACTCTACTGCTCTCGTTTTGCCGCGTTCTGCGTTGCGTTTGCAAGAGCTAAGTTAGGAAGACCCTTTGGCGGCAAGACTGTTGCGAGGAGATCCTGAAGGAGCTGTTCCGTGTCCGACGACTCAGGGCTTGCACGGACTCTCGCACAAAATCATGCGATTTTGGGCAAGGCGGTGATCCGTGACGATGTCACGTCTTTGCGAAGGATTGAAGGGGAGCCCGGAGCCAAGGGCGCGTAGAGTGCAGCGCCCCGGCCCCCCGTCGGGAAGAAACTCATTGTTACCTTGTCTTTCGCGTTGGATCCGTGCCTTTCCGTTCTTGTCGATCTGTGCCTTTCGTTTCGTGTTGATCTGTGCCTTTTTCTCTGCCTTTTCCTGTACGACGCCTGCATTTTCCTTGTCATGTGCATCTTCAGTCGACTGTCCGGGTTTCAAAGCACAAGGACTGCGTTAATCTGTGCCTTTTCGTTTGTGTTGCTCTGGGTCTTTTTCTTTGTTCTTCTGTGTATACTTAGAAAAAAATACACATACATACACATACACATGTATTTACTGCTGTCAACCAGCACCTGTCATCTGCGACTCCCGCCCGTCTTTCCTTGCTTTTGAAACAACAACAGTCATTTCTGACTCCCCTTTTTTCCCTTCCGGCTCAGACCTTCGACACGCGCCCTCATGTGGCGAGTCCGGTTCTTAAACACGCCGCTCCCTTATTTAGTGATTCCGGTTAATCATATATCTTGAACACAACCCCTCATTTGGCGATAGCTGTTCATCACATAATATGTTAAACACGCTCCCTTATTTGGCGATAACGGTTCATCCTATATCCAAAACATCCCCCCATTTGGCGATGTCGTCTCGTCATACATGTTAAACACGCCCCCTCATGTGGTGATACCGGTTCATCATATATCTTAAACACGGCCCCTCACTTGGCGGTCCCGGTGCACCACAACACGCCCAACCCTTTTGGCGATTCCGTCTCCGCATACATGTTAAACCCCCCCTCATGTGGCAATTACATTATATATCATGTCCTCTCGTTTGGCGATACCGGCTCACCATAATTCTATCTTGGACTCGCGCCCTCGTGTGGCGAGTCCGGTTCAACACATATCTTAAACACACTTCCCCCTATTTGGTGACCCCGGTTCATCAGATGTCTTAAAAACACCCCCTCATTTGGCAAAACCGGTTCTTCATATATCTTAAGCACGCCCCTTGTTTTGGCGATTCCGGTTCCTATACATCTTAAACATGCCCCCCTCACTTGGCAATTTCGCAATTCCGGTATCTCATATATCTTAAACACCCCCTCGTTTGGCGATTCCGGT